GCTTGGGCCAAAATATTATACCTCCAAGTTGTGTCATATGCCTTCTCAAGGTCAAAAAATATGGCAATAATTGAGTGGTTATTTGCAAAGGCATTACGAACATTATGTATCCAAGCGTACTAAGGGGTCAATGGTAGAATGGCAATTGCAAAAGCCATATTGATTACTGGAGAGATGGTTGTGTCTCTAAATACCACGTTAAACGTTGATTTTACCAGATGTTCCATCACCTTGCAAAGTGCACTGGTGCACTGGTAAGAGCAACGGGATGATAGTGGGAGGCATCACGTCTTGTAGTACCCTGTTTGTGGAAAGGGAGAACAATGGCAGATTTCCACAGCTGGGAAAGAACTCCTTGTTACTAAATAAGATTGAAGGTACTAGGTTGGTAGACAGCAACCACCCAGGAAGTACTACCGTCCTGCCAGATGACTGTGAACAGAAACCTGTAACTGTTTTGCATGATGATAGGATTGCTGGTGTCTTTTTCTGTCTCATAAACACGCTAGATAACAGGGATATGTTGCTACTCCTACTTACACTTTGGTCACACTTCACAGACACGCACATGCATATATATATACAGACATCTAAGTTTTTCTCCTTTTTCTAAATAGCTCTTGTTCTTCTTTATTTCTTCTATTGTCCATGGGGAAGTGGAAAAGAATCTTTCTTCCGTAAGCCATGCGTGTCGTATGAGGCGACTAAAATGCCGAGAGCAATGGGCTAGTAACCCCTTCTCCTGTAGACATTTACTAAAAAAGAGAAGAAGAAAAACTTTATAAAACTGGGATGCTTGAATGTGCATGGATGTAGTGCAGATGACAAGAAACAGATGATTGCTGATGTTATGAATGAAAAGAAGTTGGATGTCCTGGCTCTAAGCGAAACAAAGCTGAAGGGGGTAGGGGAGTTTCGGTGGGGGGAAACAAATGGGATTAAATCTGGAGTATCTGAGAGAGTTAGAGCTAAGAAGGGTAGCAGTAATGTTGAAGGATCAGTTATGGAAGGATAAAAGAGAATATGAATGCGTAAATTCAAGGATTATGTAGATTAATGTAAAGGTTGGATGCGAAAAGTGGGTCATAATAAGCGAGTATGCAACTGGAGAAGAGAGGAATGTAGAGGAGAGAGAGAGATTTTGGGAGATGTTAAGTGAATGTATAGGAACTGTTGAACCAAGTGAGAGAGTAATTGTGGTAGGGGACCTGAATGCTGAAGTAGGAGAAACTTTTAGAGAGGGTGTGGTAGGTAAGTTTGGGGTGCCAGGTGTAAATGATAATAGGAGCCCTTTGATTGAACTTTGTATAGAAAGGGGTTTAGTTACAGGTAATACATATTTTAAGAAAAAGAGGATAAATAAGTATACACGATATGATGTAGGGCAAAATGACAGTAGTTTGTTGGATTATGTATTGGTAGATAAAAGACTGTTGAGTAGACTTCAGGATGTACATGTTTATAGAGGGGCCACAGATATATCAGATCACTTCTTAGTTGTAGCTACACTGAGAGTAAAAGGTAGATGGGATACAAGGAGAATAGAAGCCTCAGGGAAGAGAGAGGTGAAGGTTTATAAACTAAAAGAGGAGGCAGTTAGGGTAAGATATAAACAGCTACTGGAGGATAGATGGGCTAATGAGAGCATAGGCAATGGGGTCAAAGAGGTATGGGGTAGGTTTAAAAATGTAGTGTTAAAGTGTTCAGCAGAAGTTTGTGGTTACAGGAAAGTGGGTGTGGGAGGGAAGAGGAGTGATTGGTGGAATGATGATGTAAAGAGAGTAGTAAGGGCATATGAGAAGTTTTTACAAAGTAGAAGTGATGCAAGGAGGGAAGAATATATGGAGAAAAAGAGAGAGGTTAAGAGAGTGGTGAAGCAATGTAAAAAGAGAGCAAATGAGAAAGTGGGTGAGATGTGATCAACAAATTTTGTTGAAAATAAGAAAAAGATTTGGAGTGAAATTAACAAGTTAAGAAAGCCTAGAGAACAAATGGATTTGTCAGTTAAAAACAAGAGAAGAGAGTTATTAAATGGAGAGTTAGAGGTATTGGGAAGACGGAAGGAATATTTTGAGGAATAGTTAAATGTTGATGAAGATAGGGAAGCTGTGATTTCGTGTATAGGGAAAGGAGGAATAACATCTTGTAGGAGTGAGGAAGAGCCAGTGGTGAGTGTGGGGGGAGTTCGTGAGGCAGTAGGTAAAATGAAAGGGGGTAAGGCAGCTGGGATTGATGGGATAAAGATAGAAATGTTAAAAGCAGGTGGGGATATAGTTTTGGAGTAGTTGGTGCAATTATTTAATAAATGTATGGAAGAGTGTAAGGTACCTAGGGATTGGCAGAGAGCATGCATAGTTCCTTTGTATAAAGGCAAAGGGGACAAAAGAGTGTAAAAATTATATAGGGATAAGTCTGGTGGTATGGTAAAGTTATTATTGAAAGAATTAAGGGTAAGACGGAGAATAGGATAGCAGATGAACAAGGAGGCTTTAGGAAAGGTAGAGGGTGTGTGGACCAGGTGTATACAGTGAAACATAAATGAACAGTATTTAGATAAGGCTAAAGAGGTTTTTGTGGCATTTATGGATTTGGAAAAGGCGTATGACAGGGTGGATAGGGGGGCAATGTGGCAGATGTTGCAGGTGTATGGTATAGGAGGTAGGTTACTGAAAGCAGTGAAGAGTTTTTACGAGGCTAGTGAGGCTCAAGTTAGAGTATGTAGGAAAGAGGGAGATTATTTCCCAGTAAAAGTAGGCCTTAGACAAGGATGTGTGATGTCACTGTGGTTGTTTAATATATTTATAGATGGGGTTGTAAGAAAAGTAAATGCGAGGGTCTTGGCAAGAGGCGTGGAGTTAAAAGATAAAGAATCACACAAAGTGGGAGTTGTCACAGTTGCTCTTTGCTGATGACACTGTGCTCTTGGGAGATTCTGAAGAGAAGTTGCAGAGGTTGGTGGATGAATTTGGTAGGGTATGCAAAAGAAGAAAATTAAAAGTGAATACAGGAAAGAGTAAGGTTATGAGGATAACAAAAAGATTAGGTGATGAAAGATTGGATATCAGATTGGAGGGAGAGAGTATGGAGGAGGTAAATGTATTCAGATATTTGGGAGTGGACGTGTCAGCGGATGGGTCTATGAAAGATGAGGTGAATCATAGAACTGATGAGGGGAAAAGGGTGAGCGGTGCACTTAGGAGTTAGTGGAGACGAAGAACTTTGTCCTTGGAGGCAAAGAGGGGAATGTATGAGAGTATAGTTTTACCAATGCTCTTATATGGGTGTGAAGCATGGGTGATGAATGTTGCAGCGAGGAGAAGGCTGGAGGCAGTGGAGATGTCATGTCTGAGGGCAATGTGTGGTGTGAATATAATGCAGAGAATTCGTAGTTTGGAAGTTAGGAGGAGGTGCGGAATTACCAAAACTGTTGTCCAGAGGGCTGAGGAAGGGTTTTTGAGGTGGTTCGGACATGTAGAGAGAATGGAGCGAAAAAGAATGACTTCAAGAGTGTATCAGTCTGTAGTGGAAGGAAGGCGGAGTAGGGGTCGGCCTAGGAAAGGTTGGAGGGAGGGGGTAAAGGAGGTTTTGTGTGCGAGGGGCTTGGACTTCCAGCAGGCATGCGTGAGCGTGTTTGATAGGAGTGAATGGAGACAAATGGTTTTTAATACTTGACGTGCTGTTGGAGTGTGAGCAAAATAACATTTATGAAGGGATTCAGGGAAACTGGCAGGCCGGACTTGAGTCCTGGAGATGGGAAGTACAGTGCCTGCACTTTGAAGGAGGGGTGTTAATGTTGCAGTTTAAAAACTGTAGCGTAAACCACCCTTCTGGCAAGACAGTGATGGAGTGAATGATTGTGAAAGTTTTTCTTTTTTCAGGCCACCCTGCCTTGGTGGGAATCGGCCAGTGTATTAAAAAAAAAAAAAAAAAAAAAAAAAAAAAGCAACCTTTACAAAGAAATGAACTTATTATTATTATCATTATTATTATTATTATTATTATTATGAGGTTAACCATAGAATTGATGAGGAAAAAAACGCGAGTGCTGCGTGGAGGCATATGTGGAGACAAAAAACGTTATCTATGGAGGCAAAGAAGAGAATGTATGAAAGTACAGTGGTATCAACAAACTTATATGGGTGTGAAGCTTGAGTTATAAATGCTGCAGTGAGGAGGCAATTGGAGGCAGTGGAGATGTCCTGTCTAAGGGCAATGTGTGGTATAAATATTATGCCAAGAATTTGAAGTGTGGAAATTAGGAGGTGTGGAGTTAATAAAAGTATTGGTCAGAGGACTGACGAAGGGTTGGCGAAGTGGTCTGGTCATTTAGAGAGAATGGCTCCAAGTAGAATGAACTGAAGAGTGTATAAATCTGTAGGGAAAGGAAGGCGGGAGGGGGTTCGTCCTCGAAAAGGTTGGTGGGAGGGGGTAAAGGAGGTTTTTGTGGGCAAGGGGCTTGGACTTCCAGCAATCATGCATGAGCGTGTTAGATAGGAGTGAATGGAGACAAATGGTTTTTGGCACCTGACGAGCTGTTGGAGTGTGAGCAGGGTAATATTTAGTGAAAGGATTTCAGGGAAACCGTTATTTTTATATAGCCGGACTTGAGTCCTGGAAATGGGAAGTACAATGACTGCACTTTAAAGGAGGGGTTTGGGATATTGCCAGTTTGGAGGGATGTGTAATAGGACAGTATATATATCATTGGGCCCTGACATTATATTCTATAGGGAGTTTATTATATTATTTCAGGTCACTTTTTATATTGTATCTAAACTGTTGTATCTGGGCACCTCTGTAAAAACAGTGATTATGTATGAGTCAGGTGAAAATGTTGAATGATGATGAAAATACTTTCGTTTTGGGGATTTTCTTTCCTTTTGGGTCACCCTGCCTAGGTGGGAGATGGCCAACTTGTTGAAGAGAAAAAAAAAATCATAAATGTGCAGAATTTTAAATAGGCATCTATATGAAAGCCAATATGAAGGATAAAGACTCACCTGAATCATTTGTACAACAGACTCCATTACATGGTAGACGTGCTTGCTCTTAATATTATTAAGGTTGCGACCAATATTTAATTTTTTAATACTTTTGTTTTTACTAATTGCTGCTACTACAGGACCAAGCTGAGTCTCTAATCCTGTTGAAGAATACACTTGGTTATTTACCTTATCGAAAGATTTTAAAAAATACACAAATTACACAATTACTGTACAAATATTATACATTCTCATACTAAAAAGTACTAAATATTTTTATTAACCAATAATTCCTTTTAATAAAATCTGAAGGAAACTCAGTATTACCATTATCAGAGATGTCTAATGCTGACAAACATCGGACCCCATGGATACAGGACTCCAATATTTGTGCTCCTGTTGCACTTAACTGGTTACTACTTAGGTCTAGATCAACTTCTGAGATGTTCTCGTTACATGCTAACCCTAGTAGCACATTCCTGTAGGGAAAAGAAGCTTATAGTTATTCCTTATGACAGGTTTCATACATTTAAATTTACTATCATCAGGCAAAGCACTAGACCTACAAGGAATCATACAGCAAATAGGGAATTGGAAGCAATCAGATTCAATCCCTGGAAGGAAATGACAGGTCCACTTCAATGGATCAGGAGTCAATGGCATTAAGGCACCACCCTTGAGGAAGGGAGGGGGGACATGCACATCGTAGTTAAATCTACACAACTTTTTTGAGAATACACACATTTGTACATAGTTAGGTCATACATACAGAATTAGAATCTCTTGTTGTAAGATACCCAGAAGCATTAACAAACACTGACACAACTGTTTATAGAATACAGTGGAACCTCCACTTGTGAGCACATCCAAATGCAAGTTTTTCCAAATACAAGCAGTCACACTGTTGATTTTTTGCTTCCATACGTGAGCAAAGTTTCCATAAGCGAGCGAGCCTCAAGGGAGGTTCCTTGACGCTGGTGAGGGGCTCTTGCTCTTTATCTAGGGAATTGGATCTCATTTGTTTGTTGGACTATCTTATTGAAACCTGGGCAATGTATGATGGAAAGATACTTCTTAACTGGCTGTTGTCTTTCTGACAGACTCAGGGAGCACAAACGTAGTGTTAGGCTTGCTGACACCAACAATGCTCTTTTCTGTCATGTCTGAGATCACAGTCATCCTACTGACTTGTCTTCTGCTAAAACTCTCTACCCTACTTCTAACTTTCACAGTCGCCATCTAGTTGAATCCTCCCTCACACACACAACTTTCCTTGTGTGAATCTTAGTCCTGGCTTTGTTTCTGTAGATGCCTTCTTCTCCCATTACATTGTAAAATGCTCAAAACTTCAAAACACCCATGACTTAACCTGATTCTCCCTCCTCCTTCCCCCCCCCTTTTTTTTTCTTCTTCCTTGGGTATTTGGTCCATTATTATTTCCCCCCCCTCTGTGTTTTTGTTCCTACCATTTGTGGGACCCTGCTCCCTTACAGTGCTCCTCTTTCTTACAGTTTGACTGACTCCACTACTACTACCTCTACGGCTACTTCTCATCTTCCTCTACTACCTCTCTCATCCCATCTCTGTCTGCTGGCCTATACACACTCCCTTCTCTCCTTTCTGTTAGTGTGACTTCGTAAATAGTCCAAGTTGGACCAAAACATCGTTGTAAGTGCGGGTTATTTGTGTATTGTTCCAGTCACAGTATTGTGCCTTTTAGTTATTTATCTACCCATTAAGATATTATCTACTAATACATAGTCCAACAAACTGCAATCGTCACTCCCTTTATATCTCATACTTATTTATCCTCTTTATTTTTTCTTAAAATATATACGTATTATTGATTGCCAAACCTTTTTCTGTACATTTTTTTTTTTCAACAAGTCGGCCGTCTCCCACCGAGGCAGGGTGACCCAAAAAGAAAGAAAATCCCCCAAAAGAAAATACTTTCATCATTCAACACTTTCACCTCACTCACACAATCACTGTTTTTGCAGAGGTGCTCAGAACACAACAGTTTAGAAGCATATATGTATAAAGATAAAAAACATATCCCTCCAAACTGCTAATATCCCAAACCCCTCCTTAAAAGTGCAGGCACTGTACTTCCCATTTACAGGATACAAGTCCGGCTATATAAAAATAACCAGTTTCCCTGAATCCCTTCACTAAATATTACCCTGCTCTCACTAACAGATCGTCAGGTCCCAAATACCATTCGTCTCCATTCACTCCTATCTAACACGCTCATGCATGCCTGCTGGAAGTCCAAGCCCCTCGCCCACAAAACCTCCCTTACCCCTTCCATCCAACCTTTTCGAGGACAACCCCTACCCCGCCTTCCTTCTCCTACAGATTTATATGCTCTCCATGTCATTCTACTTTGATCCATTCTCTCTAAATGACCAAACCACCTCAACAACCCCTCTTCTGCTCTCTGACTAATACTTTTATTAACTCCACACCTTCTCCTAATTTACACACTCCGAATTTTCTGCAAAAATATTTAACCACACTTTCCCCCTTGACAGGACATTTCCATGCCTCCAACCGCCTCCCCTGCTGATTCAAAACCCAAGCTTCACCCCTATAAGTGTGTTGGTACTACTAACTTTCTACCCCCTTTTTGCCTCCTGAAAATTTTTTTTGACCCACTATACCTCAATGAAACCACTCATTTTTTTTTCCCCACAATTCTATGTTTAAACCTCTCCTTCATAAATCCATCCGCCGCACGTAAACTCCAAAGTATCTAAAAAACATTTTTTTCCATACTCCCCCTCCCCAATTTGTATCAAATTTTTTTTTACTAATTCTTTTGATCCCCACACCTTACTCTTTTTCTTTTCACTTTCAATTTTCTACCTTTACACACACTAAAAAAACCATCCACAAACCCTTGCAATTTTTCTTTAAAACTCCCATAAGGCAGTATCTCACAAAAAGTAACTGTGCAATTCCCTTTTGTATTTGATTTCCCCAAAATTTTAACCCCCACCCCTCCCCTGAACACCCTAGCATTTACTTCTTTTACAACCCCATCAAAATAATTAAACAACCAGGTGACATTACAATCCCGTCTAAATTACTTTTACGGGAAGTAGTCTCTCTCTCTCTTCTACACACCCAAACCTGAGCCCCCTATCCCCATAAAAAAATCTTTACGCATTTTAACTTCCCCTATTTTTCCCTATACTTGCAACATCTCCCACACTGTCCCCTATCCACCTATCTTGCCTTCTCTAAATCCATAAATTTAATAAAAAAACTTTCCCCACCTTTATCTAAATACTGTTTCACATAATGCTTCAAGTAAAAAATTTTATCTACACTCCCCCCACCCCCCTTGAAACCTCCTTTCTCATCCCCCCACCTACATTCTGTCTACCTCAATTCTTCAATTATAACCTTTTTCCCTACCTTTTTTCCTGGGATACTCGGAAACTTTTTCCCCTTTAATTTTTTTCAAAACTCATTTTTCCCCCTTCTCTTTTATAAAGGGGTAACATGCCTCCCCCAATCCCAGGTACCTTCCCCCTTTATACATTTTATTAAATGAAAGTACCAACCCCCCAACACTATATTCCCCCCCTGCTTTTAACATTTTGTCATGATCCCCCATTCCCGCTGCTTTACCCCCCCCATTCTACATAATGCCTAACAACCTCCCCCCCCACTTTCATTTGCTTTCTTTACTCATAAAAGATGGGTTCCTCCCCGACCATGCTGAAATTACCCCTCCCTTCTTTCCCCAATTTAAAAGTTCAAAAAATTTTTTTCACCACTACCCAATCCTCCCTCTGCCAATCTACTAATCCTCTACTCTGTTTTTAAAAAGACAATCCATACGTTCCCTAGGGTTTCTTAAAATACATACTCAATTAAAAGCCCCTCCTAATCATCAATTTCCCCGGCATTCGAAAATTAAATTATTTCACTCTCAAATCTCTCCCCCTATTTTCAGGTCCCCCAAAAAATTTTCCACCTATTCAAAACTGCCTAAACACTCACTAACACCTAAAACTCTCTGTCTTGTATACTCCTCTCGCATTTTAAAAGCACTTACTATTGTCCCTTTCCTATTTTACCCTTATTTTAATTGCAGCGAGGAGAGGGGGGGAGGCAGTGGAGATGTCATGTCTGAGGGCAATGTGGGGTGTGAATATAATGCAGAGAATTCGTAGTTTGGAAGTTAGGAGGCGGTGCGGGATTACCAAAACTGTTGTCCAGAGGGCTGAGGAAGGGTTGTTGAGGTGGTTCGGACATGTAGAGAGAATGGAGCAAAACAGAATGACTTCGAGAGTATATCAGTCTGTAGTGGAAGGAAGGCGGGTACGGGTCAGCCTAGGAGAGGTTGGAGGGAGGGGGGTAAAGGAGGATGTGTGTGCGAGGGGCTTGGACTTCCAGCAGGCATGCGTGAGCATGTTTGATAGGAGTGAATGGAGACAAATGGTTTTTAATATTTGACGTGCTGTTGGAGTGTGAGCAAAGCAACATTTTGAAGAGATTCAGGAAACCGGCAGGCCGGACTTGAGTCCTGGAGATGGGAAGTACAGTGCCTGCACTCTGAAGGAGGGGTGTTAATGTTGCAGTTTTAAAAACTGTAGTGTAAAGCACCCTTCTGGCAAGACAGTGATGGAGTGAATGATGGTGAAAGTTTTTCTTTTTCGGGCCACCCTGCCTTGGTGGGAAATTGGCCAGTGTTAATAATAAAAAAATAATAATAAATAAATAATAATAATAATAATAATATAATAATAATAATAATAATAATAATAATAATAATAATAATAATAATAATAATAAATAATAATAATAATAATAATAACCATCCAGGGAGGTACTACCATCCTGCCAAGGAATGTAAAACAAAAGCCTGTAATTGTTTTACATGATGGAAGGATTGCTGGTGTCTTTTGTCTGTCTCATAAATATGCAAGATTACAGGTATGTCTTGCTACTTCTACTTACACTTAGGTCACACTACACATACATGTACACGTTTATTTATACACACTCATCTGAGTTTTCTTTGATTTTCTCTTAATAGTTCTTGGTCTTATTTTACTTTTCCTTTATATCCATGGGGAATGGAATAAGAATCTTTCCCTCCGTAAGCCATGCGTGTTGTAAAAGTCAACATAAAATGCCGGGAACAATGGGCTAGTAACCCCTTTTCCTGTAAAGATTACTAAAAAGAATAAAAGAAGAAAATTGCAAGTGGGAAGTCTGAATGTGCGTGGATGGTTGTGCAAATGAAAGAAAAGAGAAGATTGTGGATGTTTATGAATGAGAAGACACTGGATACCTGGCTTTAAGTGAACAAAGCTGAAGGGGGGGGAAGTTTCAATGGAGAGAATAAATGGATTAGTCAGGGGTTTCAAGTAGAGTTAGAGCAAAAGAGGAGTAGCAATAAAGATGAAGGATAAGCCTATGGCAGGAAAGAGGGACTAAAATGTATATAACCCTTTCAGGG